AGTGAGTCAGAGCGAGGCCTCGGGGCCAGTCGCATTTTAATTGTTAATAGGCGTTTAAACTGGAGGGGAATATTTTACAGCCTAACGAGCAACAAGTCAGGGCATTATCAGTTAATTATGTCAGCTCCTGCATCATCTTTATCAATGAGAGTTAGCAGTTTGAAGATGTGGCTAATTTTCATCCGAAGCTAATTACGGCATTTTAATCATGAAATCATATTAACACTGTTTTGTCGTTTCTCGACCACAATCTCGCATAAAGGCCTCCTGTTTTCACTTTTAACATCGGAGTCCACAAGTTTGCTTTCCCAGGTCCTAATAAAGTTTTCCACACCCCAGTGAACAGCCGGGCTTAAACAAGATGAATGGAAATGCAGATATGGGCCAAACAATGAGTAATGCCAGAGGATGTATAATAAAGACACTAAACGCAGCACTAGTCCCTTGGGAGTTGATGGTTCGGAGCAGCACACATGGACCTAATGACCGCACAGACCAGCCAAATGTTTATTCTTAACAAGCCGTCACCAAAGTTTGCCTCCAACAAACTATCTGCTCCCTTCACTTTTTAGGCACCATTATAAAACCGATTTGTCAAATGTTACTGCAGTTTTTAGTCGTCTGCTTTAATTGGTGATGGCGGCATTTTGGTTTTTTTTTTTTTGTGTGTAGTTCAAATGAGTTTCCACGAGCGTGTACCAAAAAATCTGTCAATATCTAGATTTTATAATGTCACTCTTATTTTTACCACTTCTTATTATTTTGCAAAAGTTTTGTCTTAACATATATATATTACTGCTAGTCGCTGGAGTGGCCATACGTGCAGAGTCAGAGTTGAGAATTGTAGTGTTAAATAATGGCAATAATTGATTACAAATAATGTTGAAAGGGTGCCAAGTCATGTTTCTCTTGTATTTTTATTACAAACTTGTTCTTGCTTTAAAGGTGATTATCTCCATGGAAATGTTACTGCTTTGCCTGGAATATTCCTTAAAGGTTCTATTAATATATAATGTATAATATTATATATAATAATATATAATGTATTTATTGTGATATTTTGTGGAGCTAACAAAACTGTGAATATGTGACTTTTTCCTCTTAAAATGCCTTGTCAAGACTTAATCCAAAGAACTTAGATTTAGTGCTTAGAACTGTTATTTCTTCTTGTAGTCTACACTGAAATGGAGCAAAGGATCATGGTCTGTGTAGTTCCCTCTGTCTTTTTTTTTAGCTATTGCTGCACCATAACTCTTAATTTAAGCAAAGAGACTTCGATATTGTGATGTCCACGATATCATTGTGAGAAGTTTGACGATATTTCGGTTATTGTTACATCCCTACTCTACCGCATCAAAAACATACCTGGAGTTTGTCGTTTCATTCACACATTTGAGAAATCCTACATTATTAGTATGGAATATTTTGAGTGTTTTCTGTTTGAGAGAAGAACTCAGCAGAACTTGTGCGTTAATCTTGTGTGACTGAAACAAAATACAGCTTTGGGGAAGTTTTTGATGAGTAAACAGCATTATAACAGATCAGAAAATAGCGTAATGGGTCCTTTAATATAGCATTTCTCTTTTTTATCTCCATGGAGACAAGTAATGACACCACATGACCAAGTTAGCCGTCAGATTTGTGGAGAGGAAAGTCTGTCCACAAAAACATTTCTAACTGAGTAAATGCAATATGGATAAGTTAAATACAATACAGTGGAACTTTCCTGGCAAAGCAACAATATCTCTACAGAAAGAAGTAGATAAAGTTACACTGTGCAGCTTTAATTACTCAAATCTAGACAGTGTTTTCCAAATCAATATTACAATTTACAAGCAGCGATCGTTTCCTTATTGAAAACGACCAGCCTGTCCTTAAGAGAACTTAAGGTACTCGCCATCCATCAGCGTTTCTGTCCTCCTCATCCATCTTTGCACCTTTTTACAAACCTTTTCCAATAATGCACTCCCCATCAAAAACTATGTGCTGCTCCAGCGCTTGTCACAGCCATTTATTTAAAAGAAAGCCTGGCTGTGACATAGACGGATAGATGCGTTTATTTGTCTGTTTAACACAAGATGCCACGTCTCCTCTCTCTTCCAGCCTGTGGAGAGCAGCGGGGGTCTGCGGGGGGTGGGTTTTACTGTTATTAATACCTGCTCTCAGGCCTTTAATCTGCCCTATTTGTCACATGTTACTGTCTGACTGCTCCCTCTAATCTGGGGATCCTTCAAATGTCGCGGGAGAAGATGAGGATATAATGACGAGATTTGTGTTGAACATATAGCAGTGGAATAGGTTTTGTAATTTAATTGTTGGGTAATGTACAGTATATCTAAAAATATTGAAACGGAAGGAAAAGAAAGATATCAAATTGATGTCAAAGTAATGCACAAAATTGTATTCATGTTATAGAAGTGGGAGATATTATAGCAGTTGTTTTGGAGATGTATCAAATAAGAATATAGAGTTGATAAACACTGTTAGGATAGGAAGCCTGGGACAAAATCGGATTAAAAAATAAAACAAGCTTCAAGTGCAATCACCCAGTGTTATTTCTGCCCTTTTCTTTCATTTTCTTTTTGCAATACTAGAGCTTGAATGCAAAATATTGTCTGAATATCATTATTATACATCCCTTACCCCTCAATCATTTTTAAAAATAATTAGATTAACAACACGATTACAATTTATAATGGAAAGTGTTTGTATATATTCCACAAACTAATACAAAGACTGTTTTAAGCTTCCCAATTGATTTATGTTGAGAAAATGCTGACAAATCATAAAAGCAAAAACAGTTTGTTTTTTTTCCCTTTACTTTTTAAAGTTTCCAGCCATAATACTACTACTACTATTACACTACATACTACTGTACAGTGATGTATTACTTAAAATGTTGTTGTCTAATCTAAACAGTTAATCCAAAAAAGAATTTAAAAAAATAACTACATTACATTACATAAAACTATACTATACTACATAAAACTGTTAGGCCAGAATATTAAGTTAAAAATAAATACAACCATTCTGAAAGCAGTTAGTCCATATTTACAAAAACTTCTGACCAAAATGACTCTTCTTTCAAACCAAATCTGTTTGTGACCCCTTTGGAGCACAAGAAGTGTCTGGACTCTCTGTGAAGCTGAGGCTCTGTAGTTTTGGCCTGTGCTGTCTCATCTACTCTAATTTTAAGTAGGAACAAGCTCTAGACAATTATTTGGGGTAGATATAAGAGTAGATATACTTGGTGTTCCTGGAGATGATCTGATAACATTTGTTGAGTCTTGACAATTTTCATGTTAAAGGGACTTGTAATTAGGCAAGTGGTAAAGGGTTCAACAGTCTTGCGTATATTATGAATGTGAGCTATCGTACAGTAGTGGTTCATTTGACACGGTCTCTCTCTTGTACTTCCTGCTCTGTTCCTGTCCCTCTCTCTCCTCTTGTTTAGCTGCAGCTGTAGCCTCCCTGAACAGTCTGAGCAGCACGTGGGTCTTTGGTGTACCGCACCTGTGTAGTGTAATACAGTCTGCGCACACGTTGTTTATTTCGGATTTGTTTGGTGCGTTTGAAAGCCCCTCTTTGATCCATGCAAAGAATCTTCACTTGGCTTCATTTTTTATTTTTTTTTACCCAATTCATTCTGCGCTCCCCTCATTTTTAAAAGCTCTGATAACTGTATTTTTACTTGCTGGAGTTGTTTCTTGTTTTGTCTCCAAGTACCCAAGGGACAGCAAATTGACAGTGACCAATGATGAGCTTGTCAGGGCTGCTGTGTTTTCTAATGTGTTTACAGCTTCAACTGACGAGTGCGTTTAAAAAGACTCACTTAATGAATATTGCATCGACAGAAGGGACGCCACAGGAAGCCGGGCCAGAGGTGCAGCGCTTTTGTGGCTATTTATTTCACAGTTTTAAGTAGCTTCAAGAAATGGTTAACTCCAATAGTGTTGCTGACTGTCACCGATGTGTATGTCAACTGTGCTGTTTGTGAACAAAGGGCTGCAAATTGATATGTGAAGCTATAGGTAACTGAAAAAGACATGATAGAGAGCACTACACTGCTGGAGTCAACCTTATTTTTCATTGTTGTGATGTATTAAAACTACATTCTAAGTATAACTTATGTCTTCGTATTGATATTTGACTGCTGTATTGTTGATTTATCCTTGAGCAAGGCACTTCACCTACTCTACTGATTTCTGATTCAAATTGGGTATTTATTTTTTATGTATTATAAAATACATAAAGTAGTTTATTACATGCACTAAACAGAATCAACTAAAAGATATGTGCCTGTGTCACTGACTGGAAATGCACTGATCTGATACTGGATACTACAGAAATATTTGCTGGATTGGATATCGGCTTCAGTCGACATCCTGCTTGGACATATATAATTAGACTATATACTCGTCTTAGTCAGCTCAGAAAGTCATAATATTTTAACTTTTATTTACAGAAAGTTGTTCTGTAGTTTCTTGAATGATAAATAATAACTTCATAACAGAATTGCATCATTATTATTATTATTATTTATGTATTATTATTTTAATATGTGCTGTTTTCAGTCTGAACTGGTATTGGTGGATATCTGGTATCGGCACAAACACAAAGACTATAGTATCAAAATCAGTATTGGAACTGAAAAGCTGGATCGGTGCATCTGTATTGCAAATGGGGTTGTGTTTCATTCCAGAGTGATCTGGTGATTGAGAAGCCAGGTAATAATAACATGATTTACTATGCATAATTCATATTTTGGCAAATATTATTATTATTATTATTATTATTATTATTATTATTATTATTAAAATAATACATAATACACATAATCATACATAAACATTTACAATTTCACATGGATTTCTATATTAATAATAATAGATGAACTAAGAGCTCTATGCGTGTTCTCATTTTGAACCAAACTCCCCAATAAAATTAGAAATGTCTGAAACCTGAGCCTGTTTCTCAATGCACCTGTTTCTGTGTTCCAGAACAAGTGGGTCAGGAGATCTTGTCCAACCTGCACAGCGACCGTGAGAAGATCCAGAGAGCCAGAGAGAGGGTGAGTAACCACGGCAACCTGCCCATCCCAATGTCCAGGAACAGCTCTGCTCACAAGAGTCTGACAGACCAGCCAGGTGCTAAAATGTGCTCTGAAATCTAACTCTATCCTCAGAGTAAACTATGGGTCCACATTAAGCTATTATATCACTTCCTGTTTGTCCTGTTGTATTGTGTCAGTGAGCAAGACACCTCAAAACCAGACATGACCAATTAGATATTAAAAGAAACTGAATTAAAGTTAAATTCAGTGATAGAGACATAAATATATCCACATACTAAAACAAAAAATACAATGGAAACTAGATACTCATTTGAAAAGTGTCAATACTGGGAAAAAAGGATAAAGAGAGGTTAGTAAACACAGCCACCTGCCCATCGTCATGTCCAGGAACAGCTCTGCTCACAAGTGTCTGACAGACCAGTCAGGTGTCAAAATGTGGTCTAAAATATAACGCTATGCTAGGTGTGTACGCAAGCAATGGACAAACTTACACACAAACAAATATGTGTCAGCAAAATGTTATTTAAGCAGCTGTGTTATTATTTATAGAGGATGATTCAGGAGTGAAGCCGTCCTACGCGTTTCACTGCCACCATCCTCTTCACCTGTAGTCAACTTCTCTGCAGTACCTCTATATCGACTTATTGTTCAGTATATGAAAGCTGAAGCAGTATTTTTAGAGGTGCAATATTTATCATGGGCTGCTTTTTATTTGCACTACTAGAACATTTTTTGCCTAAACGTAAGATTTGATTTGTTAAAGGTTAATAAAAATACATTATTTATTCTTAACGCTACTTAACAAGGGTTTCATTCTGCTTTTTGATTTAAAAAAATAGCAACGGTTTTACTGGCATTTACTTTAGGGTTATTGTGGCAGTGGTATGGCTGCACAATATATGGGAAATCAAAATCAGTTTCGATTGATAGACTGGATTGTCCTTTGCAAAGGAGAAAGTATCCTGTGTTTTTATAGAAATCCTTGTACCTGTAGTTCAGACCTTTACAAATATGTACTGAAATTCATGAAATTCTTAAATCACTTCATCACTTATCAGTTTTCTACTATTTTAATTTTATTTAATTGCGAAACCTGTCAGAAAAAAACTTCAATTTTTTCCCCAAAAATTGCTGAACCCTAGTTAGTGTCATAAAGTAGTTTCAATATGATCATTTATTGTGATATTTGTGTAGCAATATATCACACTTTAAAATGAGTTCTCATGACAGGTCCACTCAGCAGTTATAGCCCAGTTCCATTTTTACCATTCACCTCCTCCACCTCCCCAAGCCCTGACCACTGCCCCCTCCCTCCCCCCTCCCCGCTCCCCGGACAGACAGACACAGAGACGGACAGGTAGACAGAGACAGAGAGAGGGTGAGGGTCCACGCAGAATGCTTAAAGATCACAACATGGCACTGGGCGATTTCAAAGCAAATCAAACGTCTCCTTTCAAAACGCTGCATGGTGAGGAAGAGGCCCAGACAAGACATTGCCTTTCCTCTACCCTGGAGTCTTATAGGCATGTACAGTGTGAGCTTACAGGAAGGGAGGTTATTTAATGGGCTTATATGACAGGTTTTCATGTTTTTTATAACTATTACATGTTTTAATGGTATAGTATTCAATGCAGTTTCACACCAGTGGTAGTTAAAGGTGCGCTGTGTAACTTTCAGGTGGCGCGTCTTCTACCTGCTTGCCTTCATAAAAATGACTTAATTTTGCTTTGGAATTCAATTACAGGTGATTTTATTTTTCCATAATACTTGAAATATTCCTAAAACTTGAAAAGCCTCCTCAGATTTGACATGCACCTTGGCTTGCTGGTTTGTCTCCATTGAGATAGATAAGCTTAATGCCATACTGTGGAACAATCCAGACAAATAGCATTAAATTGAGGCAAGAAAGCAGCGTGCTCTCCATCAGTAAAGTTACATGGTGCACCTTTGAGGCAAGAAAGTAGCTCTGAGTTCTCTGAATCTCCAACTACGTCATTAGTTTACAAAATTCCATCCAAAATGTAGAGACAATTTACTCATAATCAACACATTTTCTTCTGACAGTTTAAAGAGTGGTGTCATATATTTTTGTTTGTCACATGACTTTTTAGGCTAGTGTTTGCCCTTGTTTACATTATGATAGCCTCTTCTTCTGTTACATCTATTGGTCATCTCTAACCAGGAAATAAAATTATGAACCAAAATGGTCTAACTCGGCAAAAATTATAACTAGGTTTGATTTGTTTTGTTGTTAAATCTTATTAGTATAATTTTATCAAGAACTTTTTTGTGAAATTAGTAGTCTACACTGCCATATGCACTTTGAGAATGTAAACAAACCCCTATATTGCACATTAAAGCTGTAAAAAGCACAAATATAGGTGTCTAAAGTCTAAAACTCCTGTAAGTTGCTCCATTGTTCTTTATTCAAACGCAGCAGCAGAGACACAGGAGTGGGGCTCAGCGGGGGTCTGTCCTGTTGTGATGCTTTTATGACACAGTTAGACACAGTTTCACAGGGTCAAAGCACTTTTCTCTGAGCGGTAGATATACTGTGAACTGAAAGGACTTGTCTAGTCTGTCTCCAAACACATCTAAGCAGCTAATGTCCAGGGCTCATGACCCCAATCTAAAGACACACAAAAGTTACTGCTGTTTTAGGAGGGGTCAGGCTCCAAATAAACAGTGGAACCGTGCGTACATGAATCAGGGGAATACTGCAATAAAGCAAAACTGAACTGAACCTAAGCATGGATCAAAAATCTGTGCAGAATAAAAACAAATATGGCTTTCAATAATAATTTCACAAATGAGAATTTTTCAGTGGAATTTACAAATATTTAAATAAACCAAAAATGTATGAGACTTGATTTAATTTATAATTGCACAGCCTTAATTTAAACTTTACTTAAAGGTCCTGTATTACAAAAAACTGACTCTTGTGAGCTTTAAACCATGTCATAATGTTGTTACATCAAAAATATTCCTGGAATTGTGTTTTGGTTCATTCACACGTGTTTGATTATTCCTTTATTCCTATATTTATTATTCTTCCAAAGTTCAAAATGCTCTGTTCCATCTTGTGATGTCATGTAGTGATACTTTTAGCAGCTGCATTTGACCTTTTTGTTCAGAAAAGATTGGAAATTCCAGGGTTGAAATTAACCAAATGATTCTAGTGAAGGTGTGTGGAGTTTAAAAACAGAGTGCAGCACTTTTTGTATTACCACATGACATCACAAGGTGGGACAGCCAAAAGAACACAAAAGAACATTATTACATGGATTAGAAATAGTGTAGTATTGGCACTTTAATTTAATGGACTATAAGGTTTAAGTTTTATCAAATGTAACTGATATGTCCGTATAAAACCAAATTGAAAGAAAGAGGAAGAAAAAAAACGAACTTCTCCTTTATGACAGTAAATGATAATAATAAATGCTTTGGGATATGATTAACTAAAACTACAAGTAGTAAGTTAATAATTAGCATAAGGATTTTTGCAGCAGCCAGTAGTTGTCGCTATTTGGCTCTGCAGCTCAGACTCAGCCTTGTTTTACTCTGGTTGACACATCTCATCTAAATTATCTTCAGGTTCAGACTATTGCTGAAAGAAAGACATTTGAGAAACTTAAAATATAATACAAGTAGAGACTCTTTTGACCAGTTCCTTAACGTGAATTGGATCTTATTTTAAAAGAACCAAATCTATTTTTTTTATAGATTTTATGCATTTTTACACTGATAAACCCTGAACCAACATGAGAATCAGCACAGAAGCAGAGTAGGCAACACCCGTGAGAGCTTTGTGCACAAAAAAAAAACCCAAAAAAACATATTTGGCATCGTAATAACAGTTAAGTTATTATTATTGTAGTACAACATTATATAGAATTTCATAATTTCAGTGAGTAAGTTTGAACCATTTTAAACACATCTGAGCCTTGGTCATTTCTCTCTGTGATTAGTTTGTTGTTGAAATGAGTTAAGTTATAAATAAATATAAAAAAGCCAGTCTTGTGGGATCCAAAAGCTTCAGATTCAACAAAGGATCCAAAAGTCCCATCACTAAATATAAGTCATAAAGGTGCATTGTGTACCTTTTTTGGTGGAGGACCCGTCAAATACTTTTCTCTGTGGATTAAACCTTTCTATATTATATAATTTTCTGGATATTTTTGAGCTATAAAACCACCTGTAATTGAATAAATGTAAGATAGAGCTGTTTAATCTCTAGGCAGAACAATGACATATCCGTAGAAACAAGCAGGTGAGTTGCATAGTGCACCTTTAATTGTTTGTTGTGTGGTAAGGTATGCACTTCAGAAGATATTTGCTTTCTATAACTTGGCACTCAAAAGAGTCAGCTTTAGTCACACTAAAATGTCTCCCACTCCAGTCACATCCCTTTTTGGGTTAAGCAGGCGGTCGGAGCGTGGAGGCGGAGGAGAGGGGCAAATGAAAAGAAGGAATGATTCAGAGGGATATATTTTGGGCGAGTCGTCTGGGGTGCAGAGCTGTGCGCAGAGGCAGACATCAGGCTTCCTCTGCAGGACTTGTTGTCTTTGCCAGAGGGCCCAAACCCCGGGACCCCCACCTCCTCGCCCCAGACCACATGGATCTTTGGCTCTCACAGCCTGTGCTACTGCAGCGCCCACCGCCAGAGGGGAGGAAGAGGAGAGAGAGGTGGAACTGAGGAAGGCTGTAGGGCCAGTGTACAGTAGTAGAGTGTGAATATACAGTACAGAGACGTGAGGTTACTACTTGAAACTTAGCTGATAGTATTGTTAAATTCCTTTTTCCTCCAATTTTTCATTGACCATAACTAACTAGACTGAAATGTCATTGAACTTTTGGTATCAGTACTTAAACGTGCACTATAACTTTTCTGGTAAGAGTTTAACGTCCTACTGTGGAACAAGTCAGGCAAAGCAATAACATCTCCATGGAGTGTAGCAGGTGAAAGACCATCAGCCAGAAAAGTTATGTAGTGAACCTTTAAGTCAGTGGTCCCCAATCCTGTTTTAGTCCTAGTTTTAGACCTGGTTTAGTCCTGGTTTAGTCCTGGTTTAGTCCTGGTTTAGTCCTGGTTTAGTCCTGGTTTAGCCTTGGTTTAGTTCTGGTTTAGTAGAGCAGCCCACATGACGTACAGGAGGGGGGGACGTTCCGCACAACGTATGGGAGGTGGGATGGTCCATGAGGTGTTCGAGAGGGGAGACAGTCCACGTTGCGTGCAGGAGCGGGGGCGGTCAGACAGTCCATGTGGTGTATGGGAGCGGGGGTTTGCGCTTTCGCGGCTCGGCACCAAACGACCCACAGCCTGGTGGTTGGGGACCCCTGCTTTAAGTGATACCTGGTTTACTGAACTTTATCAGTTCCATTTGAAAATGTCTTTGAGCAAAAGCAGTCTCAGCACATAGGTTTGAAAACTTTGAAAGAGTACAGATTTTTATTTTCCAAGTAATACTTTTTCTTATTGCATAGAGGTACCTTTTACCTTGTGATAACAACAACTACTGAGTTCTGAATGTTCTTGTTTAAAAAAAAATATAATAATTTCTTATAAAGCAGAAACTGGAGAATAGATGAAACATTCTAAGGGCATTTTTACAGTATACTGTATTTTCAACACTAAAACCAGATCATTTCAATGGTCTGTGTTTTTCTATTGCATATTAAGTTACCTCATCATCATTTCTGTTGCAGTGCTTAGTGACTTACTGACTCCAGAGAGAAACTTTCTTTGCCCAAACTCATATCATTCCCTTAAAAATGTCACTAACAGGTAGATGTCTAGTGCACCTCACCCCACGCATCGTCAGCGTTTTTCTCCTCTATCACAAAGGCGCAAGTGAAAGCACAGAGAGGTAGAGAATATTGGAAAATAAAATACCCCAAGATCCAACATTAGCTTTGAATAGGTGCGATGCTTATTTCAAGAGCTCCTCCAAGGACTCCCAGAGCTTGTAATGGACGCCAGAGGGAAGGACCTTGGCTCTCCTGTTTCTAAGACTAGGCTTTGTTCAAAAATGTCAAAAGTCACTTGTTTAATAAAGCAGGCATTGCTTATTGACAACGCCATGGAACTGAAGTCTATTCAAAGAGAAACTAGACAGAGTGCAAATTATCTGAACATTGTGCATTGCCTTAGAGGTGTTGAGTTTAATGGCAGCTTGAAAAATAATTAATGTCTCTCTTTAAAAAATTATGATTCGTTTAAGATTCAAACCAAGGACTTGTTTCTGTGCTTTGTTCCAGCTGAGAGAAACCGATGCGAATCTGGGGAAGAGCTCTCGTATCCTGACGGGCATGCTCAGAAGGTAAGAGCCAGGTAGGGAGCCTCTTTCTCCACTTCTGTGTATGGGTTACTTCCTCTGCATGACAGCTCAAGACTCTTAGTTTTATTTTACACATTTGTACATTTTTGCGTGAATTTTCTAAGATAATTTCAATTCAAGGCTTTGAGAAGAATGGAGAATGGAGATCAGTTCTTCAGAGTTTTGGTATCTGTTCATTTATTACTGACACAGGAAACTGAAAGTAGGCATTTCTTTTTTTTTTTTCTTTTTTTTATCTGCAAATTCATACATATTTTCTGTAGTCTTGAGGACAACCTTCTCACTAGATGCTTTTCTATATATCTTTTTACATTTCAATACTGTCCTAACCACTAGGGTTGGGCAGTACCCAAATTTTGATACTGTTAAACGTTTTCAGGATTTTACCGGAGTATATGGTATTGCCGTGTTACCAAAATGTTTTAGTACAACTTTGGTAGACAAAGAAGTCGCACCACTATACGGTCTATGCATATTCATGACGTCTAATCTCTGAAAAGTTTCACATAAACCATCTCCAACGCGATACACGTACAGAACAGACTCATCGTCAGCCGCACGTCCTCTGGGGGGGGGACTTACCGTCCCATGGCCGGACTTACCATCTTGTCTTGGTCTCCCTTATGAGCGTCACGTGACAATGGAACAAAACTAATCGAAAGTCATCTCCCCACACAGTTAAAAGAAACATTATAGATACTAATAGTTTTAAATAATGATACCGTTAAATTGAAATTACAACCACACATTCATGTGTGCTGAACAAACCACTTTAGGCATCAATAAATTATAATATTATATTAGGTCCTTATGCGCTGCAGATTTTTTAAATGATGGTAATGAAACTGATACCGCTGCTACTTTTTTATACCACGGGATTCCGTAATACTGTATTACCGCCCAACCCTACTACCCACCATTCTTTATGTGGTTAGCAGTGCTAGTGATTGTTTTTCTTATGGCAAAACTTTCTGTCTGGCCTCCTGAAAGTTGTGAAAATCTTATAAACTCATCCCTGTGAATAATTAGGAGGCTCGGGAGGCATAAGGTAAGTAAGGAATAACTTTGGAGCACTGTTTTTCATATTTTAAGACAGTAAGAATCTGTTACAGCAATGTTTAAGTATAGTTTCTTACAACATAATCCAATATTAGTAGATGGAAATTTTACAATCTATTTTCATTATTTATTACTGACACTCCACAATGTCAATTCTCATGGTTGATTATACCAGTAAAATCTGGACAGATCGACGCTGGAAAAAACACATTATATGCCTCTTCTTTCTCACTCTTTGTGCCTCAGCCTTTGTTTTGGAAGTTCACTCAGAAAAAGCAAGAAAAGTCAAACCAATATTTCAATAGCAGCAGCATTATGTTATCCAGCCATCCTCTAACACACACTGCACTCTGTAATATCTTGTCACATCTCCATTTCATAAAGTCCCTGTGAGCCTGGCCCTGAACCGTGACGCTACGCTTTCGTCTCCCCTCTTTCTCTTTCTTGTCTTTTATTATTGTTTTTTTTCCTCTTCCTTCCTTGTCGCCCACTGTGGATTTTGATTAAGAGTAATATGTAAATGACACAGAGTAAATGTAAAAATCCTGCGGTCTGGAAGGAAGTGCCAATTGAAATCGATGCTTGAGTGCTCGGGGACAATTTGCGGGTTGGACGGCCGTTACTTGAGAAGGGTAGCGGGCCAGAGGAGGGCTGTGATGCCGACTGTAACCAATATTTCTGCATATGTCTCCCATTTTGTCAAGTCTGATTACGAGCTCGGCATGTCATCTCGAGCTGTCCCGGGCCCATTCATCACTGTCCCCGCCCCCTCCCCTCGCCCCCTCCCCAGTAAATAACACACTCTTATTTCAATATTATCATATTAATGTTAAAGTTCAGCTGTCACCTAATGGGAAGACTTAATCAGACGTAGCATTTTAAAACCGGCCTTACCCAGCACTCCCCTCGCTGCTAGCCAAACGTGCTACCTCTCCGGCTCAAATCAGGATTTATGAGGGCTTTCCGAAAGTGGGGAGGGGGTCCTTTGCTTTCTGCTTGACAGGAGAAGCGCAGTATACCCCCACCAAACTCACACACACAACCCCAAGCTCATTTTTTACACTTTTTTCCATTTGAATAAAAGAATAGTGTTTTGTTGTGAGTTCGTGGCCTGCAAATGTCAAATCTAGAGTCGTTTAGCTACAGGATAGAGAGAGAGTTCGAGAAGGTTCAGTGATATCTTACTCTGAGCCCCGTTTAAGGCCATTTTTCATCATTTTGGTCATTCGTTTCATTACATGCCCCCTCAAGTGGTTCCGCCAATTGATTAATTGTGTGTTGTTTGAGTAATTGTGTTGGAGTTTTGTCTCTATTGTGGAAATTTGTGGGCGGAGGTTTGTCATCTTCAATTTGTTTTAATATATTTATAGATCTTTGCTTGAATAGACATTGCTGTAGGGGTACAAATGATAGATTTACCATCAAAACAAAGTCGATTTGTCTGGATCCTTGTCACAAGCGAGACGATTGTGAAGCTTCATGAGGTTTAGTTTCATATAAATCGACTTCTCTGTGTTCCTGTGTCTTTCTATTAAAAAAATATCAAAACATTGCAGTATTTTATGTCACCAATGAATTGATCTGGTACACAGGTATGAGTGTTAGACTAAATCTACCACTTTTTAACAATAATAATCTTAGTTCATTTGTGCTGACCAAAGAGAAATGGAACTTGTACCACTTTTTTTATGAGGATAAGGCCAGTAAATCAATATGTTAACCATAAACTAGGTGAAAACGTGCATTTTTACTGGAAAAGTCTACCTTACACTTGTGGCGTGCCTCACAGATCATTTTCAAAATATGGGCTTTTCAGAATGTTGTGATGTCACATGGGTTTCAGCTTTCTGTTTATTGGCAATTTGAGAACTTGCTCATTCAAAAGATATATTTTGTTTTGAGTTGTTAATTTCTATGGAGACAGTGCTAGTTTTTCATCACCTTGAAACCAAAGGATTGTATATCACTTAAAGTTTTGGTGGAGGTGATTTTCTCCTCTATTATTAGAAGAAAACGGAGAAATCAGTTGAGTTATGTTTTAGATGCTCCTCCAAAACCATCACAAATATACAGTCATGCTTGATAGTTTTAAAACTAAAATTAAGAAGACAGATGAGCACAATTACCATGAGGTCACTTCACCTCAACCCCTCTTTTGAGTTGGATGTAATATTAACCTGCTGACGTTTACTATTCTTGGTTTAGTTCAGTTTTAACTCACACTTTTAGGCTGGGTTCATTCTGGTCGGCTGGACACAAGCCCAGCTGAGAAACAATTAGACACTCATTAGCTCGCTGTCATGGTTCAAGAAAGCCAATTAACTGAGCGACTTTGTGAAACACTCTCACTGTTGGGAAGAGACACACCTGAAATAACTGTTGCTTTGTTTGAAAATAAGTCTGTCCACAGATCTGACTATGAAACTCATCAATGCCATCCCAGGTAATTAGTACAAGAAAAGTGTTTGGTCGCTGAGAAAATGAAGAACTCGTAGGTCTTTGTCAAATATCTACTGTATATCTTCAGATGGTGTCAGAGGTGTAGTGTGGGCTAGAGAGCTGGTTCGCCGCTGGTTAATTTTTAATTCAGTAGTGTGAGAATCCTCTGGGTTTTAATTATACCATGACAGCCACAGCAAACCTACTGAGACACAGGGCTGTCTTATATGCGATTCATATGTATGATCTCATTTGAACCACTGTCATTTAGGTCCTTTATGATTAACACCAGTCCACTTGCCTCAGTAATGTAGCACCACTTTCCTCTGCTGTATTTTTTATTACTCATCTGTGAAGTTTGCAAATTATCCCACACCAATAATAATGCACACAATGACAGGTAAAGTTATCCAAGTTACAATTAAAATGATCATGCTCAAAGTTTTTTAGATCACGTAAAGGAGGGCCAAATGGATGGCAGATTACCAAGTAACTCCACTTGCCTTACAGTGGCCAGTGTCCAGTAATAATATTCTGTGATACTGTCATTCTTGCCAACTAAACAGTCATCAAAGGTTGACGGTATCTACCTAGACACAGCAGTCTTAAACACACCCTGGCTCCTGTAGCCTTACTCTCCTCCTGCTGTCCACTGAACATCTCAAGCATCGCGGCCTTTGCGCTCCAGCGGTTGGGAATGGGATGCAGCCCCCGTTAGGACCAGTGGGGCCGGGACGGCCGTGAAGAGGGAGGGGGCGGTCGTGAGGAGGGAGGGGGCAGCGTGAAGGGCAATGAAGCGCGGGACGAAGGGGGAGGATGTATATTTTGAAGCAGAGGGCTTGTCTGCACGCTGGCAGCTGATCCCACATGCAGGTGGTCGACTCAGTCGCCAGGCAGATCAAAAAGTCAAGGCCCCGGGTGGACCTCTCTTTGAAATGGGAATGGGGCCTAGATATCAGACAGAAAACATAAGCAAGCTCCCAGCCACAGAACAGCTCCATATTCATGGTAGAGGAGTGACGGGCAGCGGCAGGACGGCCCGTCTTCACAAGAGCTCCGCACTCTGGACACTGATTAAGAGATCAGTGTGAAGGACCAGGGACCATCAGAAGCAAAAAGTGCAACACGCTCGTCAATACTGGCAATTTAATTTCATTTATATGATTTTATATAACCATTAATTTGAAAGAGTACATTAGAAATGTATGTTTTTGTACTTTTGTTTTCTATTTCAGATAATGATATGCAACTGTGTTAAGTATTTTTAGTATCATATTCCCTTGTAAATGTTAGACAAATTTGCACAGCATTTAAAGAGATCAAGCATTTTCTTAGTACCTTGTAAACTCCCTGTGAAGTATTTTTCATAACAACAGAACTCTACTAAGATATTTCCCATATATTACATGCCTTTTTATTTGGACTTACAGCTGAACTCATCACAGTATCCTCTGCTCTGCCGTGCTTTTGGTCCTGGGAGGAGC